AACAGTACTAATACCTGCAGTACAGTAGCAACAGTACTAATACCTGCAGTACAGTAGCAACAGTACTAATACCTGCAGTACAGTAGTAACAGTACTAATACCTACAGTAGAAACTAGAGTTAGCTTCAAGGCCAACGGTTAGCATTTCATGAGCTAACTACTTCATGCTGAGAGTCTGATATGAGGAGCATCTTTCATTCCACTTGTGTTAATGAATAATTGATGAGGTCACACTGAATCTAGAGAGGTTTCATGACTCACATCTCACAGTATCACCCTCTGATCTAGAACACAACATAACACAGCATTATAATATTTACAAACAGCATTGAATAACTTTTTGCACATGTCACAGTCACATATATAATAGTTTGAGAGCACAAAATAATATGACAGGATTTAAAATCGTTGTTTATTCAATGTTCTGACTGTCGGATTTTCCTGTCGTGTCTTTGCAGCTGCTCAGGTAAGCATGTCTACATGTCGCCTACGTGTCGTCAAGGCCTCGTCTACGCGGCGTCATCTACGCGGCGTCGTCTGCGCGGCGTCTGCGCGGCTTCTACGCGACGTCTACGCGACGTCTACACGACGTCAATGTGATGTCAACGCGTCGTCTACGCGACGTCAACGCAACGTCAACGCGTCGTCTACGCAGCTTATACGCGTCGGCGGCGCGTCGTCTACGCGGCTTATACGCGTCGTCTACGCGACGTCAACGCGGCTTATACGCGTTGTCAACGCGACCTCAACGCGTCGTCTACGCGGCTTATACGCGACGTCAACGCGTCGTCTACGCGGCTTATACGCGTCGTCAAAGCGGCTTCTACGCGCCGTCAATGCGACGTCAACGCGACGTCAATGCGACGTCAACGCAGCTTATACGCGTCGTCTACGCGGCTTATACGCGACGTTAACGCGGCGTCTACGCGGTTTATACGCGTCGTCAACGCGGCTTATACGCGTCGTCAACGCGTCGTCTACGCGGCTTATACGCGTCGTCAACGCGGCTTATATGCGTCGTCAACGCGGCTTATACGCGGCTTATACGCGTCGTCAACGCGGCTTATACGCGTCGTCGACGCGACGTCAATGAGACGTCAACGCATCGTCTACGCGGCTTATACGCGTCGTCAACGCGTCGTCTACGCGGCTTATACGCGTCGTCAACGCGTCGTCTACGCGTCAACTGCAGACGTGTTGTCTGCGTGATTGCTGTGTGTTGCCTGCATGTCGTCTACGTCATCAACATGTCTCCTGCTAGTTGTCTCCATGTCAGCTTTGTGTCGTCTGTGTGGCATGTGCAGACGTGTTGCCTGCATGTTGTGTAGCCTGCTCAGTCTGTGTGGCATGTGCAGTAGCATCTGTGTTTAACCTTTCAGTCTTTACTGAACAGCTGCAAGTCTAAACTAACTCCTCCTGCACTCGGCTTGAGCTTCTTTGAGCGTGTCTCTCTCAAACTCTTGTGTGTGTGTGTGTGTTAAATCTGCATCTTTACACCATGGTCCGATTTCTAACTCTACTTACTTTTGGCTTGGTATCATGCGACTGTGCGTGTACGTGTGTGTGTGTAGAACGGAGATGCTCGGAGGGAGAGGATGGACAGAGGAAACTCTCTCCCCAGTATTCTGGAGCAGAAGGTGAGTTGATGTTGAGTCACTGAATCAAAGTGAATCAACACGTGTTTTGTTCATGAACGATATCATTGTTAGAATGTATGAAACATAAAACAAGCAGTTATTGTGACAGATATTTGATAAAGATGTTACAGCTCATGATGTTGTGTTCAGATTCTTCCCTATGAAGTGCTGATTGTGACCCACAGAGGGCGCTGCAGGCTGCCACCAGGAGTGGACCGCACTCGACTGGAGGTGTGTGTGTGTGTATAATATATATTATCAAAACGTAGAGTTTAGTTTTTCTGAAGATTATTAAGTTAAACAGCATTTAAAACTGAAAGCAATAAACATTTTATTTATTTATTATTATATATTAATTAGTGTATTATTGACTTTTACTGCTGAAATAAACACAAAGGTCCTCCTCCTCCTCCTCCTCCTCCTCAGAGACATCTGGCTCCGGATCAGTTCCAGCAGCTCTTCCAGATGTCGATGTCTGAGTTCGAGCGTCTTTCTTTGTGGAGACGAAACGAGCTGAAGAAGAAAGCTTCACTTTTCTAACAGGAAGTGACCTCATCCATTCAAATACTTGATGACCCGCCTACTTGGAGGAGAGGAGGAGGAGACACACGCACACACACTAACTAACCAATCACGTCTCTGGATGAGATCAGCTGGCCCTGATTAACCCTTTACTCGCATGTATAACCTGCACTTATAATCACTACTGCTAGTAAACCTTCATCATCATCATCTTCATCAGAGGTCTGGTTTCATGAAGCGGGTTCACTTTCTAACTACATCACATCGCCGTGGTTACTGTGTCTACCGAACAATCGGATCACTGGAAACACGATAACTCAAACTACGGAAGCCCGATAGCGACAAAATTCACAGCTTTATTATAAAGGGACATTTTTAATAAAGCTCAACAATTACTGCAGAGAGGAGTGTTGATTATAGACTGCAGAGAGGAGGATGAAGATGATGATGAGGAGGGATGTCATCTCCCCGTTAAGCTGATGTTATTGATCAGGTCTTTCTGACTCTTTAATTCATACAAACGTCAGATAAAAGATCAGAATCTGATTTTATCGTTTGACATCATTCAGACTGATGACATCATCGTTACTGCTCACTAAACCGATCTCTATCATATGTATAATATTCATCATGTAGACCTGATGAAGATTTCATCTCATCAATAAATGAATACTCGTTATTGACTGATCAATAACTCCTGTTAATACCCGGCTTCGTGACATCATTCAGTCCTCTGATGTTCACGATGATTCATGTTTTCAACTGATTGTAAACTTTATTTATATTTATAAATGTATTTGATGATTGTACTTTTCATGCTTTTATTTTGAAAATATTATCACTGTACAGTTGTTTTTATTCCTCGCTTTAACTTCCACTTACCTTTATTTTGAAGGAGCAGTTCATACTAATCAACACGGCCGCGTCTTTGTCTCCGTCATCTTCACGCTCTCCTCTTCTTCCTCATCTGGTCTCGTTTCTGTTTGATGTAAAGTAGTTAAAATAAACCAGAGAACAGATTCTTTGATCTCTTATGTTCCTTTAAGCCATTGATGACATCATGAACATTGATTATTAATATTGATTATTGAGGATCTACTTCCTACCAGAGAAATGGTCCCAACAAACACATATTGATCAGATGACAGAATGAGTTGCTCAATGTGAGGAAACAAACCTCATTGTTTTGATGTTAGCGTTTGTACGGAAGCCCTGAACGGCCAAGATTCAACATTTCATTTATTCTGGAATTAAATTCATTTTTTATTGACGTTAAATAAATATATTTTGTTTCCAAAGGGACTAAAACATTTGAATAGTGTCCTGTCAGGGCTTCCGTATCTACGTTTATATATTTCTATACATTTATATATTGATATACTTATTAAAGTTTTTAAACCTTCATCAGTATAAATAATAATCTGTGAAGTACCTGAACACACCGTCCTCGTGTCTCAACGTCGTGTTCAAACTCCCCCGTACAAAGCAGCTTCCTCTTCATCACCATCGTCTTCATCGTTAACCTTCTCTGCTGCAGGTGATGAAGAGGAGGCTGAGTGTTGCTAGGCAACACGTTTCAATGCCTCATCTTCCTCTCCGGACACAAAGCACCCACGCAGGCTTCCGATTGGTCGGCCGAGAGCAGAAGAGAGACGGACCTCCTTGAAAGAAACACGAACAACGTGTGTTTGATTTGATTATTTTATTGAATGAAGTGAAACATCTACAGAAACGAGGCCTCAGCTTCTCTTCTTACATTGTAAATTTAGCTGAAAAGAAAGAAAATCTCTTGATTGTAGTTGAAATGTTTCTGTACATTCTATGAGATATGTTCAGAAAAAAGAGGCCCGAACGCACCACAGCTCCCAAAACAAAGAAAACAACGAATAATGAAAGCAGGGTTCTCCTCCTCGTGCTCAAAGGGTTCTTCTGTTTCTATACACCGGTTCTGTTCATGGTCACAACATTTGACTCTTTAATATCTCAAACAGGTCTCAGACCTGCAGGTCTTCCTCGTTTATATATGAAGTTAATATCAACTCATCTGTTAGAAATCCTGCAGCCTTCAGGCCCCTGAACGCATCGTGAGACGTTAGAGTCTTCAGCTCTCGTCGGATCGACGTCTCAATTCTTTTGTCTTTGTTTAATGAAACGTCACCAGAACTGGTTTTAAACATGAAAAGCACAAACTCAAGGACCACTTACTAAGCTTCCACTGGAGATTTCTA